GAAAGAAATGCCAAATATAAGTATTGTAATAACCTTTACAAAGAATCTCAGTAGCCTTTATTTAAATTCTGCCTGGAAAATAACATTTTCTGGTTCTATTTCAACATGCTATTTAAAAACTAAGTGCTATCTTACAATGAAACTTTCATCCCAGGCTTAATGCATGTTTGTTTGTTTTTGAAATTATTTTGCTTAAAGAACTGATTTGTAGAACTTCTTCCTGCAGATATGTTTTCTTTATTTCTGCTAGACTAAATGAGCATCTATAGGAAGGTATCAGAGGAGGCAATGGTGGATATCATTGCATGTGGTCATAGTTTTTGTGTCATTATGACTTATAGCACCCACTACTGCTGTTAGAATGGCTATGACAGGGGCACATCAAAGGTAAAACTAATCATTAGTTCGTTGGCAGTCCTAAAAAATTAATCAAGGGTATGGCTGGAGAGTTATCCTAGTGGAATTAAAAATGATACAATTGTTTCAAGTTTAATTTTTTCGTCTATGGGTTAAAATAAGACTCATTGTCCCACAGATATTGAGAAGCTCTATGCCTAATTAAAATACCTCCTTTCTAACTATAAAAGAGCAGAAGGAGGAGGAGGAGGAGACCTGATGTCTCACCAGCTTTTGATACTGTCAAATGTGGGATGGAAATTTAGAAAATGTCTGGTTGCTTCAGTGCTACTGCACTGTCACACTGCCAAATGGAGGTTCAATAAACCAGTTCCACCGTAGCACTCTAGTGACTAGGTAGACCAGCCCCTTCTTCAGCTGCTGGCAGTCAGGTAGATTGATGCCCCCATCAGCTGCTGTAGGGACAGGTAGTTCATGCTGACAGGTAGTTGGAAATAACTCCTGGCCCCACTGCTTTTTTCCTTGTCCCGGTCATTCTGTTTCTCTGTTTAGGTAAGGAAATATCTCTGAAAGACTGATTCAATGGGTATGGATTGTCCAATTATTACTATTATCATGATAAAATGTAAAAAACAGCATTCTAAAAAGCTCTAAAATTAGAATCTGAGTATCCTTAACAAGTCTTTTATTCTAAACAACACTGAAAGCATAATGTGTTATTTATTTATTTGCGTAAAATGGTAGCCTTTTTATAACAGTTGGCAGCGAATCAATGTTCTTTGCACCATAGAGATAAAGTTTAACAATTGCAACGATGCCAAAAAGACCTGTATACTATAAGACCCTTTTCCTCATGCTTATGCTTTTTTTTAATTATTGGTAGAAAAGGCCAATTTAATTGAATATTAATTTGGAATTAATTATGTACATTTGAAAATGTTGCTACTTCTTACAAATAAAGAATTAAGGGGTGACCAAAGAATTCTCACTTTTCTTTTCACTATGTCTTGTATTCAGGCTTTTCCTTACCATTTTTTTCTATTTTACAATTTACTTCAGTTTATCTGAAGTAGCCCTTTCTCCATGTACTTTTGTGTGAGTGAACCAAAAGGCTTTTTTAGTTCATCCACCTTACTATACATAGTATTTGTTCATAAATGTATAACAGTCTGGACAGTTACAAAATTGGTTATAAATTTAGATATATACTGGTGGATAATTGTGGTTTTGGGGATTGGGGGCTAAGCATTTCCTCCAAAGTAATATCTGGGCATTAATGGGTTAAACATGGATAAATGCATTTGGGATAGTCAGATTTTTCTGGATTAATCTTATTTTTACACCTGAGAGTCAATGCATCTGGCAACTCATTTAGTGAAAGGACAATTATTAATCACCTCCCATTATTTTAGTTATGATGTATGAAGTCTTTCACACTTGTGAGATTTCAGAAGTATTTAAAGCTGATGCTTCCCTCTTACTAATTTAAAATCTATTACAAATGGCTCCCCTGAGGAATACCACCTGTGTTCATTTAACAGCTCATGGTCACTCCAAAATTAATTAACGCTCTGCTAATTTTTTCTTTGTTTTCTATGAAGGAGAGTTTCCATCTGATGGTATTCAGATGCAGTGCCCTTCAACATACTAAGATGCATTTATTTTGAATCTTTCTTTTTAGAATTTAATCGCATGATTAGGAAAAGAACATCAATATGTATTTTCTCTGGCTCTCAGTTGAAATATGTGTCCCATGCATACATAAATATTCCCTTTTTGCGTAAACAACATTAGGTACTCCTCAGAAAAGGAATAAGAAATACTAAAAAAAATAAATGAAAGGTGTGAGATAAGAAAAAGAGAAGAATACATAAAATTGATTTACGCCAGTGTCATTCACAATACCTCTCCAGACCTTTCTGTCCTTGCAAATTACCTTGCTTTGAACATATTCACACTAAACATTGCTTCACAGAGTACCTTTTTTCTTTTAGACACCTCACTTCTGTTCTTTTCAGAATCTTATCAATTCTATCCAACTATGAATTTCTCAATCTTCCCTTCCTTTTAATTCATTCACTCTTCCTATGTGGTCCTCTTCCTATATGGTTTTGCAATTAAATACTAATTCCTTTTCCCTATAAGTCTATACCAAGTTAGATTACTTTTTCCGCACTGTTCATTCATTTTGATTTTATCAAAAACATATTTATACATATAATTGTGCTGTTTGAGACAGCACGATTTGGTAGGGAACATGTGGGAAAAAGATTATTTTTAAAAACCTTCAAACAAAGAATTCAAATAATTTTTGTTAAGGAACTTAAAATAGGGTTGAAAACAGACTTCCTTAATATTTGAATTCAGGTTCATGTCTTCCTTAAGATTTGATTTTGTAAGAAATAGAATTTTGTTTTTAAAAATGAAAATCATACAAAAGCAACTGCTGACAGTTTCTTTTCAAAATAAAATAAAAATAGTGATGTACATGTAACTGACTTATTATGATGGACTCTGTAATATATTACGCATTAGTAAAGTAAGTTAGAGATGGAAAAAAATAGGATTTAGTAATACTTTTTTATTGGAAAATCTCTGCCCAAAACATTTACAGTTATTACACTTTCACAACCTATTTGTGGTGAGTAGTTGGCAGAAACACTATGCACAGAGGCAAATAATATGAACCTAATCTCATTTATGCCTTTTGCAACTGTTGCCTTATTCCACTTAAATTGGGACCGATTGGTAAGACCATCATCTAGAGCTTTATATCTTATAGGTAACTTTAATTTTTTTTAATCTAATTTGTAATTGATCCCAATTCTTTTATCACTAGAGACAAAATTCTTTGAGTAAATATATACAATCAGTACTAAGTGTCAGCAAAATAAAAAATTCAAACTCTTTGCTGCCATTGGTAGATATATGATTTTTTTCAGTCCAGATATTATATGACTATTAAGAGGTTCATATATTTTTTCCAGAAAATAGAGACTATATCTTGTGGTTTTGAAATATAATCCAGTTTGGCATTTACCATAGAAAAGACTGTAACTTTATAAACGTCTCAAATTTTAGGCCATATCATCATGCTTTGTGATATAAGGCATTGGAGAAATGACATTTTCTATTCTCAGTTTTTTTTTTTAATCATTTCCCATTGGTCTCTTTCAATTCTGGGCATGCCTTTAAATTGCCAAAATCTTGCTTCACTGAGGGATAGCTGAGCAATATGTTTTTACTGTGCATCCTTTGGCCTTAAAATAGCTTCATTTGGGATTAATTTAACAGACAGATTAACAGAGTTGGAAGGGACCTAATAGGTCATCTAGTCCAACCCCCTGCTAAGCAGGAGACCCTATACCATTTCTGACAAATGGCAGTCCAATCTTTTCTTGAAAGTCTCAAGTGATGAAGCTCCCACAACCTCTGAAGGCAACTTCTGTTCCATTGGTTGATTGTTCTTACTGTCAGAAATACTGTCAAACAGTTACTAAGAAACAGTTTCACTATCTTCATGGCTTTCGGGCCATAAAGTTTAATATTTTCTTAACTATTCCAACAATGTTGCTGGAACATTTCTGCTATTTTCAAATTCTTTAATTAAACCATTTAATATGTTATAGATTCTATTGTGACTTTTGCCCCTGGAACAGAGCAAAATCTATGAATTACTTACTTTTCCTGAATGCTGTTCATTGTAAAATGTCTCTAATCTTGTCTGTCCTCAGATAAGATAGGAACTGGCAAGACAGTGGTCACCAAGGAGGTTAGTAGACAGAGAGGAATTAATTAATGATAGAAGAAATGAGCAACAAATTGAATAAACAAACCCTTAAATAGAAGATTGTTTGGAAATTAAACAATACATATATTAAAATACTCTTTTTAGATGCTTTGATATAGTTAAAATAAAGTAGGGCTGTTTCGTTGCATTTGATGTATAGTCTCCAAAAGTAGCAATCCAACTCTGGCAGCACACAATAATGTGCATTATCTGCTTAACTTCTGATCTTTTAATCAGTGGTGGGATTCAGCAGTTTGCACCACTTCGGGAGAACCAGTTGTTAACTTTCTGAGCAGTTTGGCAAACTGGTTGTTGGAAGAAATCATTAGGGCAGAGAACTGGTTGTTAAATTACTTGAATCCCACCACTGCTTTTAATGCATAATTTCTGATAGATCCTGTTACAGGCATCTTGAGCACCACAATTTGTATGTTGTTGCAAATATTTATATACGTGTGCAAAAATTCCTAAGGAATGGCATCTGACATTTTCAGTTTGGGCTAATAGCCTACATTTACTTACCATAGATCAGTATATAACAAATGTACAAGAACCTGAACGCATAATTATCTATTTTGTAAAAGGGGAAGCGAGACTCAAATATGGGTGCTGTTCTAGACATACCCCTGGGATTTATACACATGCAACAACAGATATACAGACTTTCCTTACAATAAGGAGTTCCTAATTACACTACACCAACCATATGGAGATGGTGGGTTGTACAACTATCGCAGCATTCCTAAATGTTTATCATCACACATTCCTTAAGTATAATCTTAATGTAAACACTTTCCCTAAAAATCCAAACATCAAAATGAAGATAAATGAGCGATAAAAAACAATAAAATGAAACTTTGGGGAAGGTGGATTTATTGAGACGATGCAATTAATAGGTTCTTCATGCTTCCTCTGGAGTTTGTCTGCACTTCCCCAGGGGAGGTACATGTATCTCACAGTTTGAAAAACCCTGAACTGTAGTCTTAAATATTTGTAGACCTTCTTTTTCATATATCTCTAATATTTGGCTTTGAGAATCGTGGAGAGTGTAATATCTGTTCCATTTATTTTATTTCATTTCCATACATACAAGGAGATCTTCTTTAAAATGCCTCAATACTTCTTTCCTATAATATACAGAATATAAAGTCCAAAGGAGGGATAGTTTAATATTATATATAATAGCTTTGCTGTAATGGTCTTAGTATATTATATATAATAGCTCTGCTGTAATAGAATTATCAGCCATAATTGTCTGATGCTGAGTTATTTTGAGTCCAACCATGTAACTAATGGCAATCCATTAAACACTATTTCTCCTCAACGAAAAACAAGTCACAACACTATCTCTTCAGTATGCTGAAACAATTCTTTCTTTCTTAAATATTTACTTAAATACCAGCCAAAAAGTGCATTAACTAAAACTTAGTGAAGAGATTGAAAAAGAATTGACTGGATTTTTAACATCTGATAAATTTACTTCTTTTAAATATTTTAAAATCAACCTACTCTATTTAATGTGCTTCAGATAATTTTTACAATGTACCACTTCCATCAAGTGAAGAATGATGGCTACAAAACAGAATCCTCAAAGCAATTCACTTGTCACTTACTTTAATTTCTTCTCAAGATCCAAAGAAAATATTTAAATTTCTCCAAGTTTTTAAAACGGGGTTGTAGCATTTAGTTTTACTTTACTCTTTTCTGTCTACACTTAATGTGTGAGAGTGACATTCAGGATTATCATGTCTTTTGAGTGTGAAGAACATCTCAGTTCAATGGCTTTCCAGATGTTGGATTACCATTCTCAACTGCTTGGACCTTTAACCATCCACGAATAATAAAAGTTAAAAACTAGCAATATTTGAAGGCCACAGATTCATTATTCCTATCTACACTATGCACTAAAGATGTAGGAAAAATAGCTAAAACAGACACACAGACACAGACAGTAGGGTATTTGTTCTGGAAGAACAGAAGATTATATCAGACAATAGTTATTAAAAGTCTATTTGGTTATTTGGCTTGAGCATTCCTTTCTGCAGCAGTTCTATGAAATACTGTATGTGCCTCAATATATTTGAATTCTCCTCAGGAGCTCCTGTGTCCAGCTTGAGTAGAACAATAGAGAATTTCACTCGCAATGTGCTTGCTTCTGCACATTTTGCTCTGGCTTTTTTCCATTTTGTGCTGAAAACATTGCACTCAGCCTCATAGAATTTAAAAGTATCATCACTAATTCATTTTGCACTCATATTTGCAAAAGCTCACATTTTAATCTGTGTGAAAAATGACACCTACTAAGTCTTTCAGTACTCCACATACATATTTAAGCATTGATAGTTTTTTTCCCTCCAGTCAATTCAAAATCTTAATTACTGCAATGTGCTTCTCTAATGAGCTTCATTATAGCTGCTTTTTCATCCAAAAAGAAACATAGTAATATTGTTTAAGTATTTATGTGAATTTTGTCCAGAAGTCTGTAAGTTTCCGACAAGCAAAAAAAAAAAAAAAAGAGCCACCTTCATAAAAATAATCACTACAACACAAAATCTTAGCTTCAAAGTAGATATGATGATATTTGGTGAATATTGGTTGGACGGTAGTCACATGTTAGAGGAATGGGAATAGATAAATCAATCCAGTGATTTTAAGGTAATTTGAAAATTCAATGATTTTTCTGGTTTTGTGAAGATTTCAATGTTGCTATCAGGTTTCTTTCCATTTGTGGACAGAGCTAAAGGATATGGTTGACCATATCAAAGATATGATGTTAAGATGAGTAGTTAACCAATTTTATCGACCTTTTAGAGCATGGCTCTCAAGCTTCTTGAGGAACTGCTAATATTTTGTTAGTATTTCTATTAATACTCAATTGTATTTTAATTTACAATGTTATATTATCAATATCTATTCTTTATCAGATTATATCCACTGATTTTATAACCACACAGTGGAGAGCATAATATTACTCACTGTTCTCTTTTTTTTAACCAAATTAGCTGAAAAGTGCACCTTATTGGTGGAACTTCTGAAACATGCTGCTATAGAGCAGTGGCTCCCAACCTTTTGGGCACCAGTGACCAGTTCCATGGAGAGAGGTTTTTCCGTTCACCGGAGGGGACATGGTTTCATGTGCTGCCTGCATCCAGTGGATGGGGCTTCACTTGTTTGCATGGCCGAGACCAATGCAGGTCCATGGATTGGGGTTGGGGACTCCTGCTATAGAGAATGAAAATCAGTTGCTTCCATCCTTGTGTGAACAAAAGTGCTGCTTACAAATCCAAAGCCACCTCAAGACAGAGCCCAATATAATTTCATCATTTTAAGTGCTATAGTAGGTTATGGAATAAACAATTTTGAAATAAATTACAGTATGCATTAATATTGGGTAGACAATTTAGTCAACCAGTACTTTTCTGGCATTCCCAATAGAAATATTTGATATCTGGGAAATCTTGGGGTTCAATGCTCTCTCCTCTCTTGTTCAACATCCATATGAAATCATTGGTAAAGCCATTAATCATTTCGATATTTCTTATCATTAATATTCTGGTGTTACCTACCTGTACAATCCCAGGATGTGTAGGTAAATCTGTCATTGTACTGTCCTAGTATCTAGAAGCTGCTTAGATCTGGATGAGAAGAAATAGACTTCAGCTCAATCCTGACAAAACTGAATGGCTCTGGCTGTTCAGCTCCCCTGTACTAGAATATTTCCACTGTTGGTTCTGGATTGTTTCTTCCTATTCAGAATAACAGAGTTGGAAGAGACTTTGGAAGTCTTCTAGTCCAACTCCCTGCTCAAGCAGGAAACCCTATGCCATTTCAGACAAATGGTTATCCAATCTCTTCTTTAAAATCTCCAGTGTTGGAGCAGCATAATTTCTTCACACAATTCACAGTTCTACTAATTGTTTTAACTGTCAAGAAATTTCTCCTTAATTCTAGGTTGTTTCTCTCCTTGATTAGTTTTCATCCATTGCCCCTTGTCCTGCCTTCAGGTGCTTTGGAAAATAGATTGAGCCCCTCTTCTCTATGAGCCTCTTAGATATTGCAACACTGCTATCATGTCACTCAGTAGTCTTTCTTTTCATTAAACTAGATATACCCAATTCCTGCAACTATTCTTTATATGTTTTAGTCTCCAATTGTCTAATCATCTTTGCAATCTTTCTAAAGTCTCAACACCTTTTTTTAACATCACAGTGACCCAAACTGGATGCAATATTCAAGTGGATATTACCAAGGCATTATAAAGTGCTATTAGCAATTCATGTGATCTTGATTCTATCCCTCTGTTAATGCAGCCTAGGTTGGCTTTTTAGGCAGTTGCAGCACACTGTTGACTCTTATTTAAAGACTTGTTCAAGATTTGTTTATCTCCAATTGAGATAATAAAATGAACATTTCAAACAATACCAAATTTCTGGGACAATCCATAATTATACAATTTTTCCAATATATATTTAAGGAAGATAAGACAAACTGAAGTGCTTTTAAAGAGGACATCAATAAATGGAAGATTAAGGAAAACCTTAAGGTCAGTTTTCAAATACATGAAAAACTATCATTTATTCTACACTCCGTAGCTTCATAGAACAAAATGCATGAAATCTGATGGAAATAAATTTTGGCTAAATATTAGGAAAGTACAAACAATTATAATTGGTTCTGGAACATGTTAATGGTGGGATGTTTTCAGCTGGGAAGATACTATAGATTCAGTGTTCTATAAACTGTGTATTAAGTAAAAAAGAGTAGACTGTTTTTTAAATTATTATAGAAAATACTGTTTTAGATACAGTCTAGTATTGGCAGGTAGATGAATTGGTGATGTTATTCATCTTTATCCTCATTGAACTTCTACAACTGAGATTGTTCTCAATGTAGTTATGCAGTAATGGTGTCACTGATAATCACATCACAATTTTAAGATTCCTGGCATATTGGCTCACAATGAAATATAGTAAAAATAAGATTTTTGTGTTGTTCCTTTCTACTCCCACCCAATTTTTGAATGGCTCTTTTTAAAAAGGTTACATATGCCTCTGAAAAGATTATTAAACTTTACTGGCAGATTTAAAGTGGCAGATTTTTACCTTCAATTTCTTAGTGCATCACTTTATTATAATTAAATTTTGTTTAGGACCATTGCCTTGCTTATTTAAAAAAAAAATGTTGTTGTGGAAGGTGACCTGTGCCCACATTTTTTTTTAATGGATGACATTTGGACTGGTTTATTGCATTGGGGAATTGCTTCATTTAAAATAATTGGCCGTTAGGAGGTTTCTTGGGCTTTATATATAATACCTATGTCAAAAATGAGAATTAAACTGATTTTTCAGCCAAGTGAGCCTTTGTACAACTTTAAAAGTGTAGTGCAAAATAATACACATTCTTAACCCAACCACATTTGATCCTTGCTTGGACAAACTATCTAGAATAATTTCTAGACAAAGTATACAGATATATTTATATTGTATTCTATAGTGCCTCACATATTTATAGTATGGTATAGTGCACAAGAAAATTATATACCGTATTTTCCGGCGTATAAGACGACTTTTTAACACATGAAAATCTTCTCAAAAGTCGGGGGTCGTCTTATACGCCGGGTGTCGTTCTCCTGTAACCAGGCAGACCAGCCCGAAAGGCTCTGATGAGCCTTAAATGGCTCTGACAATCCAAGCCCTGACGATCTGCTAATCAGGCAACTCAGCTGGGATCGCCAGAGCCATGGGGAAAGGAAAAACTTTTCTCTTTTCACATGGCTCTGACGATCCAAGCCCTGACGATCTGCTAATCAGGCAACTCAACTGGGATCGCCAGAGCCATGGGGAAAGGAAAAAACTTTTCTCTTTTCACATGGCTCTGACGATCCAAGCCCTGACGATCTGCTAATCGGCAACTCAACTGGGATCGCCAGAGCCATGGGAAGGAAAAAATTTCTCTTTTCACATGGCTCTGACGATCCAAGCCCTGACAATCTGCTAATCAGGAAACTCAGCTGGGATGCCAGAGCCATGGGGAAGAGAAAAACTTTTCTCTTTTCACATGGCTCTGACGATCCAAGCCCTGACGATCTGCTAATCAGGCAACTCAACTGGGATCGCCAGAGCCATGGGGAAAGGAAAAACTTTTCTCTTTTCACATGGCTCTGACGATCCAAGCCCTGACGATCTGCTAATCAGGCAACTCAACTGGGATCGCCAGAGCCATGGGGAAAGGAAAAACTTTTCTCTTTTCACATGGCTCTGACGATCCAAGCCCTGACGATCTGCTAATCAGGCAACTCAACTGGGATCGCCAGAGCCATGGGGAAGGAAAAACTTTTCTCTTTTCACATGGCTCTGATGATCCAAGCCCTGATGATCTGCTAATCAGGCAACTCAACTGGGATCGCCAGAGCCATGGGGAAGAGAAAAACTTTTCTCTTTTCACATGGCTCTGATGATCCAAGCCCTGACGATCTGCTAATCAGGCAACTCACTGAGATCGCCAGAGCCATGGGGAAGGAAAAACTTTTCTCTTTTCACATGGCTCTGACGATCCAAGCCCTGACATCTGCTAATCAGGAAACTCAGCTGGGATCGCCAGAGCCATGGGGAAGGAAAAACTTTTCTCTTTTCACATGGCTCTGACGATCCAAGCCCTGACGATCTGCTAATCAGGCAACTCAGTTGGGATCGCCAGAGCCGGGGAAGGGAAAAACTTTCTCTTTTCACATGGCTCTGACGATCCAAGCCCTGACGATCTGCTAATCAGGCAACTCAGTTGGGATCGCCAGAGCCAGGGAGAAGCAGGCAGGGAGTTGTGGACTTCAACTCCCAGAATTCCTCAGCCAGCAAAACAAAGCTGGCTGAGGAATTCTGGAGTTGAAGTCTACAAATCTTAAAGTTGCCAAGGTTGGAGACTCCTGTTCTATTGGGTAAGTTTTTTTCCCCTTTGGGATCTTTAAAAAAAATAGTTAATTGGGGTTTTTTTTAGTTGTTCTTTTTTAGACCTAGCCATTTAAAGTTTAGGAAGTTTTAAATTTAGCTTTCATATAAAAATAAAAATAAAATAGAATAATATTTGTGCAGATTTCTGAGATTTAGTATGTTTTTGTAGTGTTTCACTCTAACTACACAAACACACAAAATCTCACAAAGCTGTATGTGGAATTTTGTGTGTGTAAAGTGTGAAAGTTGGGTTTTTGGGCTTTTTGTGGCTGTGTGTGAGGTTCCTGCTTGTTTCAGGGGCCATTTTGGGTCTAGCACAGCTGCTTTTACATTGTGGGTGAGCCAGTTGTGTTGTGTTGTGTTGTGTTTGTGTTGTGTTGTGTTGTGTGTGTGTAAAGTGTGAAAGTTGGGTTTTTGGGCTTTTTGTGGCTGTGTGAGGTTCCTGCTTGTTGCAGGGATTTTGGGTCTAGCACAGCTGCTTTTACATTGTGGGTGAGCCAGTTGATGTTTTTTAATTTTTATTTGGTGTGCGTTGGAAGAGGGGTAGTCTTATACGGCGAGTATAGCCCAAACCCTATATTTTAACAGGAAAATTCGGGGGTCGTCTTATAGGCCCAGTCATCTTATATGCCGGAAAATATGGTATGTGTGTGTGTGTGTGTGTATAGTATATATAGTTAGTAGATGTTTTGCCTCTCCTCATTCTTCAGCAAGATTGTCCATCTTTTGTATAGTTAAAGCACTGCTTGCCTATTTAAATTTAAAATATGAACACATACAAACACATTTCATACATTCAAGTGTTAACTAATTTGAACATAACAACTGGTATTAAATCTTCACAACAGTATTAGTCTTCTCATATGTTTTATATGCTTTAATAATAAGGGTGGAAACTAAGCATTCCTATTCATGTCTATGTTATGTGAACAGTTTACTGTAAAAGGTTAAATTTTAGGCAAATGTAAATCTTTTCTTTTTATCTTGTCAATCTAAAATAAAGTGCTTTAGCTGAGCATGTTTTAAGATTACTCCATGAGATATTCTTAGCAACAATACACAATTGTTTTGCCATTCCATTATCCTGGATGCTCAGTTGTATTCATTTATTTTTAAAATTGCATTGTAGTCCTGGGGATTTTTGCATGGCCTTTAGAATTCAAGCATTAACTAGGTGTGACTTTACTTAACTTTTTCTTTTTTGTGGGGGGAAGGAGAGAAATTGGGGAGAAATTGGCCAAGATACTGCTATCTGCTATGAAAAGACTAACCTGCTGCTTAAAAAATGTTTTAATTTGTTTAGTGGGTTACACATCTCATTTTGAAATTTAATATTACAAAGGTACTAAGAATACATTTGGAATAGTACATTAAATGCACACAATAATCTGCAGAATAAAATCTCCATGTACATTTTAGAATGATGTCTCTTTAAGAGAAATGCTTCATAAACTGCACATAATACATTAGGTTAATTTTTGTGGTAGAATATTTAAGAAGAGAAACATGATAGAAATTAGAACGTTCAGGAATCTTTCTACATTAATATTCTAGGATGGCACTAAAACACTCAACAGAATTCATTAAGGACATTTTTATTGTTAAATATGTTTGCTAGTTGCATGAAATAAATTGGTAAATGCTAATACATTTCATCTATCATTAATGTACATAGTCCAATCTGCCTGCTT